AATCTCATTTCAGTTTTAAATGTCCACTAGTTTCTTTTTATTTTGTTTAGTCCATTTGTCTGTTTAATTTCTTTATGTTATATATATCAGTGAAACCATCCAATAGTTGTCTTTTTTTCTTTCTTACTATTTAGTTTCACATAGTCCACTGGAGTTCTTTCCATTTTGCTTAAATGGCAAAATTTTGTCTTCCCTTATAGTAAAGTAGTATGCAACTGTGTATATAGACCACATCTTCTATTCCCAGTTATCTATCAGTGGACACTTAGGTTGCTTCCATATCTTAGCTTTTATAAATAACGCTTCAATAACATTTTGGTACATATTCCATTCTTTTATATGATGATAGATTGCTAGATCAAATGGTAGTACCATTTTTAGCTTTTTTGAGATAGATCCATACCACTTTCCAAAATGACTACACCAGTTTACATTTCAACCAATGTTATATAAGGGTTCCTCTTTCTCCACATTCTCCTCACTAACACTTGTTAACAGTCTTTTTGGTGTAGGCATTCTCAGAAATATGAAATGATACCTCACTGTGGTTCATATTGTCTCTCATTCAGTAGGCTTTTAGTCGGCTGAAATATATATATATATATATATATATATATATATATATATATAGCTTTGCAAAAGTGTTTTAAATTAATGTTTTCCCAATAGTTATTTTTACTTTCATTTCCTTTGGCATTGGGGTACAGTCTCCAAAGACATGTCTAACATTGATGTTAGGAAACATGTCACATTTTCCTCTATGTATTTTACATTAAGATATTACATCCAGGTCTTTAATCCTCTTATAATTTATTTTTAATTCTATTTGATGTACTTGTAAACGGGGTTGTTTTATTATTTTCTGACCCATTATTTTCATATAGCAATGCAACCGATTTTTGTGTAACATATCTCTTTACTATACTTATTTATTGTTTCCAGTAGTTCTTTTGGTGGGGTCTTTAAGGTTATCTATATATTAGCATATTGTTTGCAAATAATGATAATTTTATTTCTTTTTCAATGTGGATTCCTTTTATTTCTTGCTGTTGTCCATTTTTTTGGGTTGTCACTCATTATTCCAATTAAACCCCCCACTTAAGCAAGACACTTTCCTGAAACATATTTTTATATGGGTTCTATTACTTCTCTCACTTTTAAAAATTCAGATTTTTACTATTTTTTTTGAATTGGAAATGTGATGGCAATCTTCTTTTTCATGTGTCATACTAAAGCCTTGCTTGTAGAATGAGAAAGATCTTTAATTTCATAAACATTATGCATAAAACCACAGACTTGTTTATTGAGAAATACTCTGTTTTCCTCTGTTATTTTAAGGAAAATAGGTATTGCTTTTTTTTTAACAGCCACATCAAAATATCCAATGGAAACAAAGAAACATATGCAGATTCAAAATGATTTTAAATGTCTGATATGAACTACCTGCATAGTCAAGACTAGCTGTTCTTCCCCAAGCTTTTTGATGATTCATAGCTGAAGTCTCATTCATTTTGAAATATGTTTTTAATTAACCACTGCCAACTCAGAATCTCGTTTATAGCCTTCACTATAGCTTCACCCTGAATCTCATATTGTTGATGGGGTTGGCACTGAACCATCATAGGTACAAGGACGCTTACTATAGGAGAAAAGCCAAGTGAGTGAGCACTATTGGAAAGGATTCTGGAAGAAGGTGAATCATGGATTGTAGTTCAGTCTTGGGGCCTGAGGCACAGTTCCTCCTCAGTGCCTTAGAAAGGATGCTTTACCTTTCCTCTGAATCTCAAACTGTGAGGACCTCTGAGTTTAAAAAAAAAAAAAACTGGATAAGGAAAAAGACTAATTATAATAAAGTAAAAATCAAAATCAACAAGCAACTATAAACCAGAGACACACTACAGGGTGGGGAGGAGGGAGTAGGATCAAAACAAGGAGGGGGTGGGAATTGTATGGGGACTATAACCAAGATGAAAACGCATACATTGTGCAAAAATGAAAAATGATATTAAATATATAAAATAAAAATAATAATAATAAATTATATATTATAAAAAAAGCAAAAGATTGAGGGAAAAAAACTAAAAACATGTCATTCCTATAAAGGTTTCTCTCTCTCTCTCTCTCTCTCTCTCCAACCCCTTCCATCCTGCCTTGCTCCCTCTCTCTCCCCTCCATGGCAAATTTTATATGATATGAACAATGTAAATAAATAAAAAATTTGCAACAGTATATATTCCTATCAGGTACCAGTAGGCTGACACAGTGAATGCTCTGATACTGAGTATTTAAATTTGTTATAATAATCTGTAAAGTAACTCTTTGTTTCTTTACAACAGTGATTAGACCCTGATTATTAAAATAATTATTTTAATACCTGAATTACTAAAATAATTATTTTCTTAGTAATTATTAGATACAGATTGCCTCTATAATGATGGACACAAAACTACTGGTGGGCTATCCAACAAAAGTTAATTTTTGTTTTTTTCCCCTAAGGAATCAACTGAAGTATTCACTGACGTAAGTAATTTTCATTCATACAAAATTAATTATTATCCCATAATATTTTATTTTATATTTACCAAGTTTACTTTTGTTTACAGAAAACTGAAGTGACTGAAGAACAAAAGAATAACCTTGAAATTCTGGTAACTTTTTCATATATACCCTTAATATCTCACAACCAGATTTTAATTGGTTACTACTAAACTGCAATCCTCTCGACAAGGAAACTGTTAAATAAATTTTAATTTGTACAAAAGTCTTCCTTGTACTTAGTTAAAACTTTACAAAAACATTCTTTCATTGTACCAATTATATCATTGCCATGTATATACCCAATAATAATCCCCTGGTTATCCCCAAAACCCATTGGTTTTTCATTTTGTAAAAGCACAAAATTACCCTGAAAGTAAATGCAACTGTGTTTATTTCCACTTTTAATCCCTAAAATCATATGAACAGATTCATGAAGATAGTAGTTCAAAATAAGAACACAGAGGAGGGGAATGATTATGCAATATGCTCTTTTTATATTTCTTCAATTATTCTACAAGGTAACAGGTATTAACAATTGACTCAGTGGCACAGATCCTATTAAAATAAACTACACATTTTATATGACTAAGAACCAGAGTTTTTCATATCAGAAGTGGAAAAGAAACTACAATCAATTTATCAATTTAGACACTTTATCAATTTAGAAATGATTTTGTATTCTTAGCATACCATTTTTGTTGTTGTTTGGTTGTTTTGTTTTGCTTTTACTTAAGGCTTTTGACCTTGGGGTCTAAATTAACCAAAGAATTTTCTCAGTTTTATAATTCATTCTATCATTGTAAACTTACCTTTGGTTAGATGTCTTTGGTATCGTTTAGAATTTATCCAATAAAGTTTTAGTTGATTTGGTCATTTCCAGGTGTGAATTAACACATAGGATATTGTAATAATTACCTGTAATTTTTTTCCAGAATAAAATCAAGCAATATTATGAGAAGTTCATCTTGCCTACATATTTCAAGACTGTTAGCCAGTATCAGGCCCCTGTGAACCCATGGAATCACATTAAGCCAAATCCTTACCAATTTGTTCCTACTATGGTGAGTATTCCCTTTATTTATTTATTTATTTATTTATTTATTTATTTATTTATTTATTTATTTATTTATAAAGATTCATCTATTTATGCATACAAGATCTGGGGCACAGGCCAGAGGTGTGCGGGGTGAGAGGATTCACCAGAGACAGAGTGGGGAACAGAACAGGCAGATCTACCGAAGTACACTGCTGAGGAGAGCAGTGGGCGAGTCAGGAGAGGTCTGCTGCACCGTATAGGTTGCGCCCCCGCTGGCTGGGAATCGAACTCGTGCTGCAGTAGCTGTGGACTGCTTCATAGGTTGCATCTTAACCCTTGTGCCACTAGGGAGGGCCCCCCTTTTTATTTTTGATTTAAAAAATTACAGCTGTCTTTTGTGGTTAAAAATAGACTGAAATAATGTAGAAAAAATATTGTAACAAATTGTCCAATATAAGTTGACATAGAATTAAATAAAAATGTTTGGCTAGAAATTAAATCAGTGCAAATAGAGTTACAACAAACCAAATAATTGTAATGATTAATTTCATTTACAATGGTTTTAAATTTCTTAAGTGTTTCCTTATAACATTAAGTTAATTCCTATAGACATTCTTAGACATAGATCAGGATAGAGAATATCACTTCCATTTCACAAAAGTATCTGTAGGTCAATTTTCTATTTAATACTTCTCCTTAATTTCATTAAAATACTGTCTCAGAAAAGTTTTTTTAATGAGGAATAAGTGAGAGAGCAAGAAACTGAACCTAGAGAACTGAAAATTTAACATAAATATGGGATGAGGGATCAGAAGTCCAGACATAAAAAAGCTTTTGATGTGGGGGAATATTCTTCATTTCTCAGGATATTTTAAAAATATGATTTAGTTTTTTAGACATACATGTAACATTTAAAGATATCTTTCCCATTATTAGAGAAAATGAGAATTTAGCTATTTGCGGTTTGAAATATAAGAGGCCTAAAGAATGTTCCAATTGTTAATATTCATTTTGTTTGCTATTGCAAACACTGAGTTAAAATATATCATTTCTCTTCCAAAGAACTACTTTTAAGATTCTTGCATGACCTCCCTTCTTTGACTTTATTTGGTAAGTACCTTTAGAACTAGAATTTAAGCAGTAATTTAAGTGGGATTTTTATGTGAAGAGTGAAACCTTAATGTTGTTAAGTAGTGTAACTTCAACTTTAAATCACATTTTGGTTTGTGAAATATTTTAAATTTTGTTTAAACCTTTTGATTCATAAATATAAGTTATTTGTATAATTGTGCATGCATGAATGCTTTATACATATTTTAGAAATAAATTATAATCAATTTTTTCTATAGCTATTGATACAATTTGGCCAGAAGCAATGGCTCTGGGTGGAAATTGTCACGAGCATATTGTTCACAGAGATGCTTACCTGTCACATCTGAGTTGAATTGAGATAGTCACTCTGCATGTTGGTTTGGGGGAAGATATGTGATTTCAGAGGGCTTCATACACAAGTCATTTTTAAACAAATTCATTGTAGCATGTTCTGTGGAGAAAAAAAATTACTACTTTTCTACTTTTTCATTTATTTTTTAATCATATTTTTTTTAAGATTTCTTTTATTTACTTATGCATACAAGAACTGGGGTGTAGGCCAGAGGTGTGTGGGGTGAGAGGATTCACCAGAGACACAGTGGGGAGCAGAACAGGCGGATCTACTGAAATACACTGCTGAGGGGAGCAACAGGCAAGACAAAAGAATGTTTGTCTTGGCATAGCAGATCTATGCCATGTGGGTTAGCTCCCCTGCTGGGGATGGAACTCATGCTGCAGTGGCTAGCAGTGGCTGGCAGTAGCTGGCGATAGCTTGATAGCTCTGAGACTTTAGCCCCTGCGTCACCAGGGAGGCCCTAAACTAATATGATTAGTTGAATTATTATTGGTTTACACTGCTGTCTCCATAATAGAAGAGTACAATTTGTCCCTTTAGGCATTGTTACCATAGTTGTGCCCATCACCAAAGAACCCATAGTTCACCACCATAGACCCTTGTGTCCCCCCTTCTTTGTTCTCATACCTCCCTTCCTCGTTCCCTTCCCTTCTGGTTGGCCCATTCCAGTGGTAGGTTTCAAGAATTAGTTTTCTAACTAACTCTTCGTTTGAGACCCTTTATTTTTTGTTTCTATATTCCACATGTAAGTGACACCATCTGTTATCTGTCATTGACATTTTTATCATAGCTTCAAAGTGATAGAAATCAAAGGAAAATAATGCACAGCAATGTTGCTTTTCTTTGTAGTCACCTTTTATTTTTCTTATATTGTCCTTGCAATACATAGATTATTTCCTATATTGGAATTCTGCTCACTCAATATATATTCTTGCTCCACTTATATATCCTGCAACAGGAACAAGTAGGTTTCAGTGAGATGAGTACAAACAGTAATAACAATAATTACCTGACGCCTTACAAAAGTGCTATTCACCTTTCTAAACCCTTTATATTCACTAAATAACAGAATAATGAGATAGTTAATATGGTATAATAACAGAATAATGAGATAATTAATATGATAGCCAATTTAAGATATGGAAGTTAGAGAGCCCGAGAATTTAAATAAATTATTCATGATCACTTGCAAAAATGAAAAAACTAAGAATATAACACAGGTTCCCAGCTAAGGGGCTCAAACACTCACTATGAATACTAAATTGCACCCTAAGTCCAGCAAGGGGATTTTTTGAGAGAATATTTTACCTTGAGGTACACTGTCACAAACTTAATTAGCTTTGTCAAGTCATGTTGGCCCTTTTACTAGTGGGAAGGATCAGATAACTTGGTAAAATAATCTTATGTTCGAAAAATAATAAAAATACAATTGTATTTTATAAATTACAATTTTCCATTAACTGCCATTTTTTATATATTCATTCTATAATTTTAAAAAGCTTATCATGTATCCCATAATGTAAAGGCCTGAGACAGAAATAATATACTGAATTTACCCACATTGAACTCTGTCCTAAACAAGTATACAGAAATGGGAATACAATGTGCTAAAAACTAAGCTGGAGGCATGAGAAGGATACAGAAGTACAAAAAGATCAAGTGGCACATCAAGTTAAGACCTTTAGATAATAAAAATGTTTTAGATAAACAGAATAAACAAAGCAATGGTAGAGAAAATATATACAGCAAAAGGGATTGAATAAACAGAACAATTATAAAAGAAAAAGAAACCATAAGATATATAATAAATTTTGAAAATTTTAATAAATTTAAACTTATTTATTAAAATATCACCCCCACAGTCATTTTGTATAATAAAATTCCTTCGCTAAAATATAGATTTCAATGAAATGAAAAATTTTGAAATATAAGAAATGAACACATAAAAGTTACTTCATAATTGCCTGAAAATGTAAATAATCACTGAATGAATAATGTGAATATTACTTTTGAATATTGGTAGAAGAACACAGCCATTAACTTTCACACATTTATTAATTAATTTGCTCAACAGTTACTAAAACATTGCATGTGCTTAGGTATCAAGTTGGACACTAAAAAATATTCACTAATAATAGTTATAAACAATAACATTCTGCCCAACTAGGATGGATTAGTGTATGTGTTTATTATATAAACTTATAATTTTGGAATATGTCAGAAAGATAATATAATATTGTCTTCTAATTTTTAGGTTTGACTGGAATATCTTCTACATTTTCTCATCTACCATATTACTACTACCAGTTTGTTTGGACTGATCTAAAAAGGCAGAATTATTTAACTGAAAGAAGACTGCAGAATGTTTCTTGAATTGTTTATACTCTTCCTGTTAGTTCATATTGAATATGCTGGGTCTGTATTGTGGTTTCAAACAAACTGGGCTTATGATTATTTATTTTCAACACTCTTTCTGAATTATATAAACACATTTCTTTTCTCCCAAAAATAAAATTTCAAATGCATTCTTTAATGTGTAATCATCTTTTCTTTCTGGTCCAGTAAGCTACTGATCGTAATGTAAACATTCCTTTAACAATTAACTTTAAATGAGGCTGGTAACAAAAATAACTGTGCAGTTTTTCTAGGCACTTCAATTTTTATTTCTCATTACTATGAAATCAGGGATTCAAGGGTAACTTTGAACACTAGAAATTACATTCCTTAATCACAGCTGAATTCTAACTATTCAGCCATCATTGCATCATCTGATTTATCCATGTTCATAATTTGTAACAAAATTAACCGCAAATCTTCACCAGATCCCTCAATCTTTGTCTCACTTAAAATTGTCACACTAAAGTAGGAAGACAAATATGAGTTCATAAAACTTCCAACCACCCCCTCGATTCATTAACAGTATCAAAAAGGAAGAAACAGCATAAGCACACAAGTGGGTACATAATTAACTGCCTTTTAAGGGAAAACACCAAAGGAGTGAATATGCCCAGAAGGGAGAGATGAACCAGGAAAGTTAAAGGAAAAGAGATCAGAGAGGAAGGGGTACAAATGAAGATTATTGTGCTTAGAAATTTGTGCTAAGCATTTGATTGTGAGGGAAGACATTGAAGGGGTTTTCACAGGGGGAGTGACATTATTTGATATGTCTTTGGTCAAAGATTTGAAAATTGGAGATTTTTTTACTTCATAAAATACTCCAATCCTTTAACACTTCTATTATATTTCATTCTACACTATCCCTGACAGCCTCACTTTCATTTCTTATTCAGGCTGAACACTGGAAGGTTTTTCAAAAGGAGGTAATATATGACATATGTTTTTAAATGGCCAGAACATGTAAAAACTAAGAGAATCTTTCTTTGTCATTGTAGAACATTCCATGCCTTAACACTCTGACTATATTCCATTCTCTGTATTCCCTAGCCTTACTTTCTTTCTTAACACAGTCCAGACTTCATCCTTGATTATTTATATTATCTTGACAGTCCAAGTGACACTTCTTCCCTGCACTTAGTGCTACCTGGAAAACACCCAACCATGAACTAGGGTTTGATCTTCGCTGCCACTTCATACAAGCAGTGACTCGAAAAGTAAGTTTGTTTTCTAAGTTGGTGGTAACTAAAGACTGTTTATCAAACGCGTTCTTGTTGACATTAGAGTGTCTCAATTCTCCTGAAGCTTCCAACTAACCTCATTAGAAAACAATTTCCCTTTCTACTTTATAGACAATATTGAGTCCATCCAACTGAAATCATCCATTTCCCATGAAGACACTTCATTAACTGGATCTAAACCTAAACATAACTTTCTCTCCTTCCAGTCTCAAAAGATATAGTGAACTTCCTCTAACTTAAAATAGTTTTTTTGTTTCTTTTGAAAATTTCCTTTGTAAAGTGTATCCCTCTTAAGGATGTTTCTTATGGCAAAAGTGGTAATGATCATTATAATGTCTAAAATTGACTGGGTGGTTTTGTGCAGGCTGTTTCAATTAAATTTACAACTAATAATATTATTTTATTATTAATAACTACTAATTTCGATCTTGATGATGAGTAAAATATACAGACAAAGAATAAGCTGTCCCCAGGGGCAGCTTCAGATTTACTTCCTGGTAACTCTTATAATTCTCTTTTTAAAATTATTTTTAGGTATTTTGCACTTTTTTCCTCTTTTTTCACCTACCCAAGCATTCTTTTCTAGGTCTCTAACCTCAACCACATCTTTTCTAACTGTATATATTTTTCCTATGTGATCTTATCTTCTTTAATTATTTTAGTTGTCACAAAAAACCAGTAGATAAAAATCACCTTTTAATCTCTAGAATTAACTCTAAATTGCCACCCCCTGAATCTAGACAGGTATAGCCAATTATCTCCTAAATAACTTCACATATTTTTTGGATAATAATGCTAATTTACTTCATAACAAAATAGGTAACATTAAATTAAGGACTTCTCATAAAAACCCATGGAGAAAAGATAGTGAATCATATTGCCAGATCAAGACAGCATCTGAAGCTATTACTTTCTATTCTAGAAACAGGTATGCTTTTTTTCTTATCAAGATGTTCCTTTTTGAAAAGTCCCTTCCCATTTACATTGCCACATAATTATACAATCAAAACTGACATGAAGCAGGGAAAATGTAAGGATTCTTTCATTTTGGAACAAAGTCAAGAACCAATAGAAAATTCTTAGAAGTGCAAAAAAATAAACATTTTTTATAGTAGCTAATATGCCTCCAGTAGCCATGAAAAAAAACATTTCTGCATATAATCTTAATATAGCCATATTTTCACTCTTTTTCACATTTTAAAAGGAGAGGTTTATTAGGAAAGGGAGAAAGAAAAAGAGATGCACCTGTATAGCCATAGGCAGGCAGGAGAGCTGATGCCATATTTTTACTCTTTATAAAAATCAAGTATCCTGGTAAAAATTACATTTTATCACACCAATCTTTCAATTCCACCACTAAAATTTAGTTATACACATCAGTTTCTAACCTCTTGGAACATTGTGCAGAATATATTTTAGTCACTGGAATGAATAACTACTCAGAAAAGCAGCACTGCCTCAATTGTGATTATGATTTGGTAGTAATATTCTTTTTTCCAGTTGAAAGGTTTCATGAGGAACAACACTGGATTCCTCATGGTTTCATCAATCAAGAGGACTTTCTGAGTGACTTTCTGAGCAGCTTCTGAGCACACATAATCAGGCTGATCACAGATCTGAGGTCTTGATTCCTTATAGTTTCACTGCCAGACACAATCATGTTAGCTCTTGTCTCTGCACATCCACAGATAGTGCCAGGGACATACTCCACCATCCACCCCTACATCCAAAGATATAAACTGAGTCCTCAAATTAATCTTTGACATCTTATCTTCCATGAATTTCTGTTCTCCAGACCCATATTCCATTGCTAGAACCAAGACCATCTCTATCTGATTAGCCCACAGCACCAAAAATACTCAGCTGTAGTTCCTGGTTTGATGACAAGGCCAACCTTCATTCCATTCTCCCAGACGTCTTTAGTCAAAGCCCCTGGATCTCAGTGGTCTGGAGGTAAATGTATATTGACTGTCACCTGCTATAGCCATTGGTCTGGACGCCATAAAGTGCATATCAAAGAAAGCATCCTAGACTAGCTGCTTCTGGAGGTTTTCTATCACAGGATAACCAAAGGTGATGTTGGAAACAAAGTGCCCCATCCATTGCATCAAGGTGCAGATAACTGACCCCAGAGTCCAGAATCTAGAGGCACTTGGCCCCTAAACTACTGAGGATGAATGGGTCAAACTTGTAACCAGACACCATGGTGCTGGTTCCCAAGTGCCAAGATGTTGCCATTTTTAAAAGACTCTCTACTGGGTCACAGTTAGACAAACTTTAAAAAGGTTCCTATATATGTATGGCACATTTATTTTGTCTCCTGGTTTGGGGAGGTAAGTAATATAGGGTGTTGTATAAATCCCATCTGCCATACATCTGAATTGTCACTTCAGCACTACACCGAAGCTCTTTCTTTCCTGGTAGGATATGTTTCCACACATCCTAAAAGGTATCACAAAAACCAAAAGATACTTAAATTACCAGTGATTTTCTGTATCTGGGTAAAATCCACTTTCTAGACTTCAAAAGGACTTATGCACTAATCTTGAACCCAGTGACTCTAAAGTGTGTCAGTCTTACAGTTATTCTTGGTGCATATATGGCAACCTTGGGTGATCCATTGGGTCACCTTTAAATATGAGGGAATGGACTCTAGCAAGGCATCTCTCCCATAGATTCCCCCTGTAGATGTTTCAACACTGGGTCAACTAAGGATTCTAGGAAGAGTATCGTTCCATGTGAGTTCATTCTCCAAGTGAAACTGAGGTTGAAGTCTTTAAATCTCTATTTACAGAGTCTTTTCTGATCCCATTCAGTATATTTGAGAACAATTTTGAGAAGGTTAAGTGGCCCTGAAGACCAGAAAAAGCAGCCGTCCTAGCTGCACAGTCAGCTGCTCAACTCCCTCTGACAATTTCAGACCCATCCCTGTGGTGCTGAAAAAATGCATCACCACTAGGGCTTACCGTAAAGCTGCTGTTTTCAGCAAGACCGAGATCTCTAGTGGGTGTTTAATATCCTTCTTGCTGGCTATAAAGAAATCCCTTTCTTCCCATAGAGCACCATGCTCATGTAAAACCACAAAGAAATACTCTGTGTGTTTGTATTATTTGCCTTTTTTACCTTCAGAGAGCTTGAGGACTCAGGTCAGGGCTCTTTGGCCTTTTTTTTCTAACATCTCTACTGGGAGGACCTTGGCTTCTAAGGTGTCCTGAATCATCACTACTGCATATTCTCATATTCGTGGCCCTGTTTCATAAAACTGTTCCCATCCATGAACAGCAACCACTCTGGATCTAGCAGAGCATGGACAGACAGATCTAGTTGGCTAGCACATACTGTTTCAATAGTTTCTAGACAGTTATGGGTTAAGATTTCATCCTAAATCTCTGCATTGATGGGGAGAAAAATAGCTGAATTTAAAGAGCTAGTGACACATACTTGCACATTAGGGTTAGCTGGTAAAGCTTCTTTACACTTCCCCTTGTGCCCGGCAGTCTGTTCTAACAATGTCAAAACCTGGTGTGGCACATACACAGTGATGGGCGGACCTAAGTTAATTTATCTGCTTCATGCATGTTAGCAGTTGCAGCTAGAGCTGGCAAACATGGAGGCCATCCCTTCTGGTGTGGTCTAGTTGTTTGGCCAGGTATGTGATGGGCTGCATTTCTAATTCCAATAATTGGATTAGCACCTCCTGCCTCTCAAGAAGTACATAGCATCAGAAATGCTTTCTGTGGTCTGCCAGCCCTAAGGCTCATGCTGAGATCAGCTTTTCCTTTATGCAAATAAGGGCAGTACAGAAATCACATAGCAGGAATGAAATAGTAACAAAGGAGAAAGGCAGCTGGCTACAGGTGATCATTTGTGTGAAGTACTTTTAAGCTGCCTATTATTCAGAGTGTGCTGCACCTTCCAAAGCTAGAACCCAGAAGTTCAAAAACATTTTTTGTTGGAAAGGATTCAAGGAATTCTTAATGTCAAGTATCGGAGGAAAAAAATAAAAAGACCATGAACTGTGGAACCAAAACACTTCAGTTAAAAGTCCAATTTTGCATCTTACTGATTATGTGACCTTTTTTAAATTATTTACTTTCTGTGCTGTAGCACACTCATCTGTAAAGTGGTAAATAAAAATAGAACTCTTCTCAATGAATTAAGGATTAATTTTAAGGAAAAAAAGGATTGTTAAATCAAGGGTCTAAATATTTATGCCATAGCACTTGGTGGCAAGACCTTTAGGACTCAAAACTTTTCCAAGTAGTTTTGATACCAATCTCCCACTGAATCCATAAAAAGAAAAATCTCAATAAAACTCCCATAGAGTGGTTACTTTTAAGCAATACTATTTCCTGGTAGGCCCTCCAAGACAAATTAATTGCAAAACTTATCCCTAGGTAAATAAATGAGTTGATTTCCACTGAAAGAAATTTAGTTGGAAACTAATTAATTATTGAAGAATATCTGCCCCCCAAAAACGATAACTTTGGCATTAGTGTCATTCCTATTAATTCATACTGACAGTAGTTAAATAGCAGGACCAAATTTTCTGTTAAAGGTCCTCCCAGTCACACTAAAAAAGTTGTACATTCTTTAGTACCTCTCTAAAAGAAAAGCAATAACTTGTATATTTTTTGAAACAACCAATTAACCATACTAATGTTCACAGGGTCAATCAAAATGAAGCTTCTGATTTGGGTCTGCATCCTATGTGTCGCTTTTGCAAAGAGGGTGAGTAAATATATTTTTTTCAATTGTTGTTACAGTATAGCCTCAAATAATATAGACAGGGATTTGTGTTAACGTTATAAGGTATTAATAATGCTGAGCTAAGATTCATTGTTGCAAGACGAATTTCAAAAATCAGAATATTTAATAAAGTTGTGCTGTCTGAAAATGGATAAACAGCAAGGGAGAAAAATTAGTTAAGAAATTCTGGAGGGAGTTTAAATTATAGGGAGCCAGAATCATGTAAATAATCTTTCAACAGTTTATGTCTTCCAATTCTAGAAAGCTCGATTGGCTCCCTCTAGCGGTAAAGTCAATTGCTAGAGATATTTATATGGACTCACAAGGAATACTTGATATGGTAAAATAAATGACTTAATGATCTTCAATGTAGTGTAAATAGATGAGTCTCTAAGAAATAGCTGTTGGAAAATTCTTAATCTTAGTCAATGAGTATGCTAAATATCCTCATTCATAAAAAGAAAACAATTATGACACCTACCACATAGAATAGTATTAAAGATTAAATAAAGTGATTGTGTAAACTACCTAATAGAGTACCTAGGATAGAGTAGGAACTCTAATGTTACTTGATATTTTTAAAAATTACTGCTAATTATCATCTAGTGGAAATTTCAAGATATTATACCTTCTAATTATCTTTGTAAATTTATAAACTATATTGAAGCTTAATTGGAGAATGGGTGGATACATGATCCTTCTGAAACTGCCAAAAAGGAAGAGGTGACGACAAAATATTCACAGAGTAAGAAACCAAAGAAAGAATGTAAACCAGGGAGGTGACACACATTGAAAAACAAGATATATTAATAAGAGCTAAATAATCTCTCAGATGGTAAAGATTTATGTACATATGGAAAATTACAGATCAAAATCCAGCAAGTAAAACTTCCTGAAGTGATTCTCTAGGTCAAAAACATAAGGCTGATCATAATAAACAACATGTAATTTATATTTATCAGTGACTCATTTCAAAAAGAAATTAACTATACTAATGATAAGGCTGTACAAATTCTTTATAATTTATAAATATAGGTACATATGTTTTCAAATAAATAACCACATTGAAATATTTTTCCTTTTTTAGAAGCGGTTCCATGTCATTGATGAGGTAAAACCTTTTTTTAATTTATATGTAAATGTACTTGCTTTTACCTTAAAGAGTATTTTACATTTAAAGATTTTCTGGTTTTGTTTACATGGTAAATTTGTGACTAATTAATATATTAGTATTATTAACCTCTTTTTATGTGATAGAAAATATTTATGGATTATAAATATGTGTTAAAGATATTTACCATAAAGCCTTTAGTTCCTTTCAGTGAGCAGAGCATTTAATTAATGTACTTCCTTTGTAGTGTGACAAAATTTTTACTACACTCATGTTTCCTGCTCTTGCTGCTATAAAATTTTATGACAATGTTCCAAATTTACTTGAACAGGGATGAATCCAGAGAGATCTTGTCTGTATTACAAATTAAAGAAGAAGAAAGCATTGTTTGGGAACTACTACAAAAGGAATATGTCCCAAGGAGACAGATTTCTGTAGGGAAAGTACCCATAAATTATACCTATTGAGGAAAACAAAACAGTCATTGATTGACTGATACTAGATTTTCCTGATTTCTTTGTCATTTGCCCTCAAATTTTGGTGAAACTGTCAAAGAAAATTACACTTGTACCTCTCCACAAATGTGCAGTATATGAACATGACTATCTAGCAATGAAATGCCACGCGATAAGGTTTGGTTGTATACACTTTTTACCAAATACTATTACACATATGGTAGAAGAGTAGAAAAACCTTGAAAATAATTTAAAAATGAAAATAGTATAAACTACTATTTTTTTCCAAATTATGTTTATTGAGGCAGAGTAGGTTTGCAGCTTTCTGCTTTGGGGGTTTGCAGTATCTGCTTTGGGCTTTTAGATTTAAACCTCTACATATGTATATTTTCACAGCCAGACCACCACCAGAGCCCCACTATCCTCCACCAAATTCCCTTGGGCTCCTTCCCTCCCCCACGTCCACCTTGCTACCCTCTCCCTCTGGTTGTCTCAGTTTTACAGTCAGAGGTTGAGAAATTATTATTGGTTTGGTTTTCACCTACCCTTTGTTATGTTTTTAAATTGTATTTTTTATTGAGATAACACTGAGTTACCACACTTTCTATGATTTAGAGGTATTTTGTATTTCATATAAGAGTTAAGATTTTAATCATAAGCATCTAGGACTCTATGATCATGGTATAAATCATGGGCAGCTGTCTCTGAAAACTCTGGAACATGTATCAGTGGTATATCATGCATTATTCCTAAGGGTTCTTTGGCAATATGATACACAAGTAAACATTTTAACTCAGCAATTCAGGAAACCATTCTAAAATTGGAAATAATTATACTATCCAATGCTAAATTTTAATAAGGAAGTTTGAAACTGGGTGATGTAGCAACGCAGACAGCAGCAAAGAAGCTATGTCTGTTCTTTCCTAAAACTCTTATTCTGATATCTGGTGTATAAATTGAACATAATAGGCACCCATTTCATAATTTTAAAAGTAACTTCTTGAATATCCATCAAGGAAAAGTTCAAAATATACAGAAGATTAAAGGGAATACAAGCACCCTCTGTTGCCGATGTAAAGAATTTCAATTAGCGTGATATTCCTCCTTGTCACTCATAGCACAAACTACCTAATTCATGGTTCCTGTCAAAAGTCCTTTAATATTTATTTTGTTTAGGTTTTGAAAGATGTTTCCATGGTATAAAATTTAAAACTTGGATTTTTTGTTTTTCTTTGTTTTAGAAATTTTTCTCATCCACTGACGAGGTATAGTATATGCATATTTGTCTAGACTTTAAAATACTGAATGTGTTTTATATTACTGATTTTTTAAGTAATGTGAAATAATTGAGCATCATTATGTTTTTCCTTGAAAAACTGAGGAAGTAATTTAAAAATATATTCTTTTCTTGCTATGATGGGCTCATTTAAAAATTCATATGTAAGTACATTTATATAATCCAGTAAACTTTAATTCATACTGATATCCTGCCCTGGTTCATTGCCTGCTCATTAAATGAAATTTTATTATGTGAATAAAGCTTTATATCATAGAAAATTATTATTGATATTAAATGCAGTATTTTCCAATAATTAGTAACATTAGGCAATTATATCAATTAAAATTAAAAATACAAGTAATCTTCCACAATTATCTTTATTCCTTCTTAATAACAATTTAAGATGCATGGTCTTAAAGGAGTGGAAGATTGGATGGAGGGTAGTGAAGAGTTCAGAGGGACACCTAAAATTCACTTAAGTGAATGCCTCTGTGGACACTTTGAGACCAGGAAGCCACAAAGGGCATTGGGCTGTGCAGCAGGTGCAGAGAAGGAGGTGTGAAGTATCAATCCTATATGGTGCACATTATTTCCTTCTGTATTTGTGTCCTGTCTCAGGCCAGAGTATTCTGTCATTTATAACACTCTGATTCTCCTGAACTGAAAATATTCCCCCCTCAAGTCTGGTTTTATTCAGTTTCCTTAGAAATTTCAAAAATTATGGAAGTACTAATTTAGCCTTAAGAAAGACTAAATTGAAATTCATAAAAAATATAATTTCACTCATCACATATCATTGCAGTCATAACATGAGTAATATAAAGATAGGATGGACATAATCAACTTTATCTGACTTCTTTTCTTCCCCTTTAGGGTTACAAAGACCAGCGACAGCCACTGAACCCTTCTCTGAATATTCCTTATCCCATACGCAACAATGATTTCTCCTCTCCAGAGAAAAGTCACCATAATTACCCTGAGAATCCTAACTCTGACACAGGGGCACCCCCAAACTCCTGGATTCTCAATAATCCTGGAGCCAGTTTTTACAACATTCCTAATATTCCCATACCTACTTGGTCAGCCCCTCGTCCTACTCTTCCTGGGGCCTCCGCCGTTGTACCTTTCTCAAATATACCTGCAGGACTTTATGACACATCTAGTGTGTCTGCCCCAGTAGATTCTCACGGAGGTGTTCCTCTTGATGTCAAATTTACAACAGTTAAACACCCTGAAGACAAATTTATTCAGGAGGCTGCAGCTGATCCTGGTGAATTGGAGCCCACTACAGCCACACCTGCTAAAGAGGGGTCTGATGCAGCCAAACCTGCTGCCAGAGAACCTCAAATTTCTACTCCTTTTGACGAAGTAGGTTGCCTAAATCTACACTTAGTTGAAAATGGGAGAGTAGCCATTTTAGATCTTTGTATCTGTTCTAGTCTCTATTTCTCTCTATTCTCAGGTGCTCTGCTCTGTGAATTTCAGCCACCTTTATCTTCTTGGACTCCCAGTTGCAACTCCCTTCACAAAAGTGTAGAAACTCTGCAGGCAGTATGCTAGGACAACCATAGAGTTCATCTCCTTTGCTGCTTGTCTCGTAGGGCTCTCTGCCCTTCATAGCCTAATGTTCAGATCTTGAGAGTTGTTGCCTCCCATATTTTTTGTACATTTTAAAAATTTATTTCAGGCAAGTGGGTAAATCCAGTTTGTGTTACTCATCTTGTCTACAGTTCTCTAAACTTTTTAGTTTTTATTACTTTGGCTTCTTAGTATCATAATTTTCTGTCAAATTATTTTTTCATCAGATTATATTGTCAGTTGTCTAGTGGTTAGAATTCAGCATTCTGTAAACATTTTGAAAACAAAACATATTTAAGAAGTATTTAATCCCTGAGTTTTAGAAGATGTAGTAGAAGATAAAGCAACTGGGATACTTTATAAAAAGGAAAGTGGAACACCAGTCTACCAGGCATGGACTAAAAGAAATGGTTGTTTAAACTCATGAGTCAATACTTCCTGCTGTAGACTGTAACTAATCTGATATGCCTAATAGTTGTTACCCCAGATTATATGCTTTCTCCAATTGCTGTGCTTCTGATGGGGCTCGGGATCAAGTTAAATGATGGTTTGGAACTGTTCCAGAGAAGTGTAGTGAGCTAGGCTTATTCTACAATACTCCACATATTTGCATGTTTATTCAGTAGGTCTTTGAGAAAAAGTACTTTCCATTCATTAATATATTACCTGAAGTTCATGGCTAAATGAGGGTAGAAGAGAAATGTTAGAAAGTATGGAGAAAATAAATGGAGTTGATAAGAAGCTGTTTTGAAAACACTGCTAATTACCTTGCAGTTCATCCAGTAGCCAAAGCATTTTTAAGGACTTTCACTGAGAGGAGTTATTTGACCAAAAGCAAAATCTTGTGGCAATATAGAGTATTCTACATATGAGCTATGCAGAGGTCACTAGGACAGAGCTACTTAGAGACCAAGGTTATTCAGTAAAAATAGACATAATACAATGAAAAGAAATATGTGACTGTCATCAATGAAATATCTTTTTTTTTTTTAGGTAAACAAATGAAACTCTCTAAGGAAGAGATTACCATGCATTTGTTTCTGTAAGTCATATATATGTAATAGTGAGGTTTGAAAATACACACTAAATAGACTAAACTTCATCATCTGAAACTATCTTTGAATGTATTTTTACTACATAAAAGTGAGAAAGCATGATATGAAGAGTTACTAGTCGTCTGTGTCCCTGAATCTTTGAAATTGTTATGTAAAGAATGCAGCAATTTTTGGACATTTTTTCCTTAAATTGATTCAAATTGATCATGACTTGAATATTCTAAAATAAAAATGGTCAATATAGGGAAGAAACTTCCATATGAGGGAAAAAGGTGGAATTATGGATGTGAAGGAACTATTATTTAAGCTCTCACAGATCTTTCTGTATATTATTCATTCAGCCACTATCCTTACTCCACACTGAGAATCATTGCTTCAGAAAACAAACAATGTAGATTGGAATTTTCTAAATCCCCACCTTCTCCCACACAGTTTTGCCACCAGTTTCTCAATACACACTGTCCTACGATGAAGGGTACTGGTCAAAAAGTTCATTTTCCATCTAGTCATCTAAGCAAAGCATATGGTTACCCTCATCCATGTTCTCATTCTTTCATCCATTCCCAAAGTTTTCCTACTAAGAATTCCTACTAAGGTGATATTAGCAGCTAAAGTAAAAATGAAAGCCAAACAAGACTGCAGTTGGCAATGCCTGTTAATAGCACCTATTGCCAAGGAAACTGAAGTCTTCAATTTTTAGTTAAACCCTTATTATTGCTATAGTTTTCTGGTTTTCATTTATTTTGCTATTAAAATAGGATAAAAGGATATTGGTTAGAGAATTGAAGTTCAAGATAAATAATTATTTTTAGTAAGCATTTGTATTTTATTTCTTACTATATTAATTACTTAATTTACAACAGGGAAAGGAGAGAAAGCTAACTTTCTAGAAAAGTCTAGAGATAGAGAAGGAACTCTATTTCAAATTAATTATTCAGTATCAAGAGACAAGTTGCTCTGAACCTAATACCTGCACAAAAAATATCCTGTATAATATATACCTGTATGCAAATAAATCACATTTAGTTAGCATCACAATTTTTCAATGAATTGTTCAAGAGTGTATAATATCTATAAAAATATAGAAGAAAACAAGCTTGAGTCTCATAAATATATAATTTAATTGTAGTATGGTTTGTATGTGCAAGTAATTATGTAACTGTTATAAGAAACTAATGTAATTTTTCTTTTTCAGTTACTACTGCAGAAACCAGTGATCTCTACAACAATTTTCTAAAGACTTCCACTCTGTTTTATTAAAAAAAAGTTAATCTCACCATATTTGTTGATTTATAATATTTTTTCATTGTATTTACATTTGTTTTTATTTATATTTATACAGAAATGATGTTTGTGCTTTTTCCATTTCAAAAATCTAAAAAGCCACTTCCTAAGTTTACAAATAATTGTTAGATCTTTAAATATATGATAGTAATATTTGATTACTTTTTAATGAACACTGACACAACACAAATAGAATTTTTTTAAACTTTTGTTTCCAAATCTCTTAAAAGAAGGGGAGGTAACCATCATTCTGTGTCTCTGTACTCCCCTGCTCCCAAAATGTTTCATCTTATTTTTAAACATTTAATATTAACTTATATAGTACTGCTTGTTACTGTTCTAAGCTCATAATAACTATTAACTTAAATCCTTATAACCATCTGAATAAACAGTATTATTACCCTCATAATAAATATTAGAAATCTGAGTAACAGAAACGTTAAGTGATTTGCCAATTACATAGCTAGAAAAGTTTTAGAGGCAGGGTAAGAAAGCATAACAAACAAATGAAGTTAAAACTTTATTAGAATTTAGAAAATGACAAACTAATATGAGGTTAACTGTGGTCACTATATTAGTTTCTTCTGCTTATTGCAAAAAAAATTAACACAAAGTCTCAGCACTATCAAGCTATTGCCATCCACTGGGGTCCGAGTTCCATCCCCAGCCAGGGAGCTGACCCACATGGCACAGCAGACCTCTCCTGTCTCACCCGCTGCTCCCCTCAGCAATGTATTTCAGTGGATCTGCCTGTTCTGTTCCCCATGCTGTCTCTGGTGAAACCCCCCCACCTCTAGTCTACACTCCAGTTCTTGTATACATAAATAAAGTCTTTTTTAAAAAAAGTTTTGACAATAAAAGCCAATAAAATTGGAATAAATTCTATACTAAATTAAGAATTCTCTTGGAAACCTCCTCTAAGAATGAGAATTTACCACCCAGGTTGCAGTTGCTGAGTATAATACCCCACTCCATCTGGCTAAGATGTTCAGATTCAAATAAGAAATGATGAATTTTTTTTACTTAAAAAACCTTATAAGGAGAAGGAAATTTAACTTTTTTATATTAAAGGAAATTATAATACCTAAAGTGCAATATGTAGCAGCATAATTATATACTCATCAACAAACACTATCTTTCAAAATGTATTCGAAACAAATATTTAATGTATAAAATCTTTTCAGAATTTGTTTTTAAAGTTTCTAATTCTTTATTATAATATGAATTTTAAATTAATTTTAATAATTGGAAAGAATTTGTATCAATTACAGTGTATTTTTTATCACTGATTATGAGATAACCTTAATTACAGAATTTAAGAAATACTCAATTTGACCTCTTCATGAGCCATCTGAAAACAAGAACTTAAAAAAAACTGCCCAACTTTCATGTTACAAAGCACAGAAAACTGATTCTTATGTTTTCTTCATCTCAAGAAATTACCACAGGGCCTCCCCGGTGGCACAGCGGGTTGAGCACAGCGCTGTGAAGCTGTCCACAGCCTCTGCAGCGCAGGTTCTATCCCAGCCGGCTGGGGAGAAATCCACATGGTGAGGCAGACCTCTCCTGTCTCGCCCGCTGCTCCCCTCAGCAGTGCTTTCAATCCATCTGCCTATTCTGATCCTCACTCTGTCTTTTCTGATGAATCTTCTCGCCCTCCCATGCCTCTGGCCTGTATCCCAGCTCTTGTATAAATAAATAAAAAAAATTTAAAAAAATTACCACACAAAACTTGAAATCATCTTTGACCCATCCCTTTCATTTATAAACCACATTTAAACTGTCAGTATATGCTATCTGCTCTGCCTTTGTAATACATGCATAATCTAGCAAATTCTCACCATTTCCACTGTTGCTATGTGGGCAAAGCCATTATTATTTCTTACTTGCTTACTCAACAGCCTCCTAATCTTTACCTTTGCACACACCCTTTGACTGTTCATTACTTCTTTCAACCATAAGTCAGCTCATGTCACTTCCTGTTTCTCAAGAGCAGCATGATTTCCACTATCAGAATAAATGCCTAATCTTTACCCAAGTAACAGAGCTTCCTATTACCTCAACATTTATGTAAAGTGCCCCCCCTCCCCAACTACTAGTAGATGGCTATAACAGAACCTCAAAATTTCAGCACCTTAATAAATAATTATCTCTCAACTACACTACAGCTCAGTGGGGATTGAATGGCTTTGTTAAAGATCTCTCTTTCAAATAGTGAATCAAATTTTGAGATTCTTTCACTGTGCAGCTTTACCATCTCAAAACACTGTCCACCTAAGGTGATAGAGGATAAGAGAAGGGTAAAGAGTTTAAGGATAGAATTAGAAGGAATTATGCTCAGTGAAATAAACCAGAAGGAAAAAGAAAAATATCAGATGGTTTTACTTATAGCAGGAATATAGGGGAACCAAATAAGACATCGGTATAAAAAAATAGCAGTACAAAACACAACGAAGCAAAAACAGACAATTATAAATCAGAGACACACTGCAGGGGAGGAAGGAGAGGCATCAGAGGGAGGGTGGGAGGAGCACAGGGGACTGAGGTGATGGTGCATGGGTGCACTGGTGAAGGAAACTCTATGGGGACTACACCTGAGGGGGTGGGGGGAAGCAAATATTTAAAAATGAACAATGATGTAAAAAATTAAAAAAAATAATACAAAAAATAAACTGAAAAGCTAAAAAAAGGGTTTAAGGAAAGTTTAATAGTCAAAGTATTCAGCTTTTTTGCCCATCTTCCATTATTTAATATGCAGCCATTTGGCTCCAATGTAATAATAAGGGTAGCTGAGAAAAACCAGATTGATGACTATATAACCTGTAAATTTACCCCTCATCTGGTTAAAATACATCCATTCTACTCTTCTTTCCAAGCATAGAAATTGTCACTTACCAGCCCGGTAAGACAAAATTTAAGGCTTCAACTCTGTTGAAGTGACCATTACTTTAATATGGCTACCCTTTTTCCCAATAACTTAGCAGAGAAAACCTGTTATCTGTCCCATAAATATACCCAGCATAAAATAATAAAACAGACAAGAAAATCAAATACTCCCACTCTGAAACAGTCGTCACTATGCATAACAATTCTAAAATCTCATTGAACAGATATAAAGACAGATCAAGTAGGGAAAGTTCCTTGATTTCCCTCTGGAAATAAATACTAAATCTATTATTCTCTTCACTTTCTATCTAAAGTGGATTTCCCAAGCCTGTTAGCTTTTAAAATCAGCTATCAACTGTAGAAGATTCAAGGATTAGTTACGTTAAGTCTCAAATAGTCAAAGGATTATTTAGTCTGGGATCAATGTTTCCCTGACAATCTACTTCAATAAAAAAATCTTGTAGGTTTCTGATCTATTTGCTTTCACTCAATTATATGCCCCAGTAACTAAACAGAAATAACTATTTCCTAAATAGAATAAATGATTTCCTAAAATAAATTCCTGTTACCCTGTGCTGCTTTTTCTTAATTTGATGGTAACTTCAATGAAGTTTTGGGGAGAAATAAGTGAGAATATGAGATCATCAACCTGATCTTTTTCCCAGAATCATGATATTCAACTAGTGTACTTGTTTGTCCTTTGTTACTCAGAGTGTTTTAAATCCTATTACTTGTTTTCACGGTGTCTATAGCTTTCTAACACTACAACATCCTACCATTTGGTTTTCCCTCTATTTTTATGTCTTCTTGTAAACAGACAATTCTTTCCTAAATTCATTTACTTATTGTAATATTTCATCATATGCAGACAATATCAACATATTAGCAAGATTGTATTTTCCAGTTACTTCCTAAGAGTTTCTAGCTTACCTGATGGTGGACATGTAGTCACTTATGTCACTCAAAGATTTAATCAGATGCTTTGATAAAAAAGTCTCCTGATCTAGTTTCTTTTTTTTTTTTTTAAATTGGCTTTTAAATGCATATTTAACTACTGCTCATTTCTCAAATTATTTAGAACCCATATGGGACAGAAATAACTGAACCCCACTAAATGCCAGAATGGATTATAAAACCCCTGGATAAAAATTCCTTAGGCACTATTATCCCTTAACTGAACTCATCTGTTATTATATTCACCCTCCTCATCCCAGAGCAAAGTAAGACAGAATCCTGTAAATAATAATGTCTTCACAACTCCCACTTACCCTTATTTTTTTGTTTTTAAAAAGACAAACACATATCTCAATACAACAGTAACTAAACTGTAACAACAGCAGAAGATCGCATAAATCTTAGTGACTAACCCTCTTTTTGTTCTACGGTTAATGTAATTCTAGACTCACTGTCTTTCTGAATCTTAATAAACAAGTAAACAAGAGAATTTTGTTTCCAAATGTATTTTTTTTTAAGATTTAGTTATTCATTTTACACAAGAACCAGGGTACAGGCCAGCTGCACAGGAGGGTGAGAGGATTCACCAGAGACAGAGCCGGGAACAGAGCAGGCAGACTGACAAAGTACATTGCTGAGGGGAGCAGTGGGTGTGGCAGGAGAGGTCTGTGGCACCATGTGGGACCCTCACCAGCCAGCCGGGATCGAACTTGCACTGCAAAGGCTGCGGACAGCTTCACGGTGCAGTGCTCAACTGCCTGCGCCACCAGGGGAGGCCCGTATTTTTTTTTAAAGATTTATTTATTCATATATACAAGAACCTGGGTACAGGCCAGATGAGTGGGAGGGTGAGAGGATTCACCAGAGACAGAGTGGGGAGCAAAACAAACGGATCTACTGCAATACACTGCTGAGGGGAGCAGCAGGTGAGATAGGAGAGGTCTACCGCACCATGTGGGAATCTCCCTGGTGGGCCGGGATCAAACTTGCGCTGCAGAGGCTGCGGACAGCCTCACAGTGCTGCGCTCAACAGCCTGCGCCACCAGGGAGGCCCTTCCAAATGTATTTATTAAGAGACATTGCCACGGAAATGAAATATGAAGTTGTAAGAGAGCACACAAAAGTTATGGAAAAACAGCCTGGAACT